CCTCACATATTGTTGGCCCTTCGTAAAAGTTTCGTTTCTTGCTCCTCTTGCCTTCCGGGGGACCTTTTGTAATGGTGAAACCTAACATCGAATAAAGGGCTCCAAATATTTGTCTGACGGTGGAGTCGCCAAACAACTTGAGAGTTCTGTTGGCCAAACATTGATTATACGTGTCAACAGGGACGCTGCTCCGACATGATAGAGGGTGCCACGTGTTGTTGTAGGAGAAACCGACAGGTGGCGTTGCCAACCAGGTGTCCCGGAAGTTCCTTCGGCCACAAGGGATTGTAGGAGACACGGCAAGGTCTTTCTCTGCTAAAGAAAATACAAATGCACTTTGAATTATAATACATAACAAAAGAAGCATGTATACACACTAAATGATGAACTCTGATTTGAAAAAGAAATAAGCTTTTCAGTTGAAGTAAACAAATTAGAGACTCTTCATAAATTAGCCGGCTTCAGAAAGAGTCCACACCAAACTGAATATCAGCCATTGCAAAGCACCATGTACCAGAACACCAGAGAATAGCCAGTCTGAATTATCCCCAACATCCATTGGCCATGTAATGTTTCATTAAACACTCCAAACGTAGACTCACCACACAGACACAACACATTGATATAACTGTTATAAATGATATATACTGAGTCAAAAAAGAAACTTCACAAAATGTAATTTGAAAAATAATGAATAATCTTTCTCTGATGATACATCTATGTATCCGAAATGGGATCCCTATCTTTCGACTCTAGAAAACGTTAGCAAAACCCACTCAAACCCATCCATTCGTCGTGCAAATGACGTTAGTGCCAAATCAGGTTTTGCACGTGCAGTCGATCACGTGATCTTCGCATCGAAGTTTTCTTCATATGCACGTGTTTGCATTGGCCTCAAGAATTGAAAAAAACACTTTTAAACCACAGTTCTAACGGTACTTGAAATGCCACGATTGTCAAATGTGCAACGTGAACGTGCCGTTGGCATGTTGCAAGCGGGAAGATCAGTTATTGACGTCGCAAGAGCAATGGGATGCAGCCGTCGTACTGTGTATGACTTGCGAGGTCGTCTACAACAAACTGGCATCACTTCTGATCGCCCAAGGTCGGGTCGTCCACGTGTGACGTCACGAACAGAAGACCGTCAAATCGTCCTACGTCACCTACGTGACAGATTTCTGCCGGCTACACGAACCAGGGCTGAGATGTTTAGAGGTCGACTGTCCTCACAGACCATTCGAAATCGGTTGCGGGCTGCCAATCTCCATTCTCGACGTCCTTATCGTGGGCCAATATTGACGCCGTTTCATCAACGTCAACGTCTGCTGTGGGCCCAACGTCACCTCCGATGGACCCAGAGAGAGACTGGAATCGAGTCGTCTTTAGCGATGAATCCAGGTTTACCCTCAGATTCGCGGACGGCAGGCATAGAGTCTGGAGACGACGTCGTGAACGGTATGCCCAATGTTGTGTACAGGAACTCGACAGATTCGGGGGCGGAAGTTGCATGGCGTGGGGTGCTTTCTGTGGGAACAACCGTTCCCGACTTCTGGTCATCCGTGGAAACCTCACAGCTGCTGCTTACGGCGACCAGGTGCTCACCCCTGAACTCGTTCCTTTCATGGCGGCTCATGGCCCAGGTCTACAGTTCCAGCATGATAATGCTCGGCCGCATACCGCGATGTTGACACGAAATTTCCTTCAAAACGCTGGAATCAACGTCATGGACTGGCCATCGAGGTCCCCTGACCTTAATCCAATAGAGCACGTTTGGGATGCACTTGGGAGAAGGCTTCGTGGTCTTAGGAACCAACCTCAGAATTTGCAGGAACTTGGCGCTGCCTTGCAAGAGCAATGGCGCAGAATTCCCAACCACGTATTCACAAGCATCAGGCAGTCGATGAGGAGACGGTGTTTGGCAGTGGTGAATGCGCGGGGCGGCCATACACGATATTGAACTGAAAAATTTCGCATTTTTATCCTTGTGACTTGACATTCTGTATACCCATGTTTTGGAACGGCGGTGTAGCCTAATGGAACTGATTATGGCACTGTCAGTGTATCGAGTACATCACACAGATCTCAGCAATGAAATAATAACTATTTAACTATCTTACTATCTCTTGTTCTTTTATAGTGCCCTGAAGAAAGAATGTGAAGTTTCTTTTTTGACTCATAGAGGTGAAATACCTCTGACGGCAACATGAAACAAACTTAAACTAACTTTATACAGACTTGTTGAGATAAGTCATGTTGAAGATTACATTTCATTATAAACGGTATTTATACAATGATATATGCAATCCCCAGGGTTCAGTATTGAAGCCGCTCGTTTATTGATTATATAAATGATATAGTTGAAGGTATAAATAGCAATATACGCCTTTTTGCGGATGATACTTCGTTGTATTCGATCATTGATGATCCCGGGGTAAATGCCATTGCAATGAACAATGATCTACACCGAATTCCGAATGGGCAGAAAAATGGCAAGTATCTTTTAATCCCAATTAGACAGAGTCAATGCGCTTTACTCGTAAATTGCAACCAACTCCAATGCCGAATCTAACCATGAATGGTAATGTCTTTAATTCCGTACAAACTCATAAACATTTAAGTCTTATACTTCAGCATGATTGCTCATGGAATGAACACATTAACGACTGTGTTAAAAATGTTGCACCAAAGGTGAATAGTCTAAGTAGTCTCAAATATCGTTTAAACAGAAAAACTTTAGAAACCATACACAAACAGTTCATATTACCAGTTAATTTAATTATTGCAGTCATGTATGGGACAATTGTACTAAACAGAAAGCAGATACACTTGAAAAACTCAATCCTGATGCTCTAGGAACCGTGTGTGGTGCTGTTCGTGGTACCAGCCATCATAAAATATACAAAGAAACTAATTGTCACCCGTTGTGTCGTAGAAGATACGTTCACAAAATGACTATGTTTTACAAAATGGTAGCCTTAGTAACCTTGTTCCGCCTAGAGTATCAGATGACGTTGGTTATAATTTGCGCGGTGATTCAAATCTTCAGACTATAAACTGTAAATCTGCAAATTACGCGAGGTCCTTTCTTCCAGATACTGTTAAATTATGGAATTCATTCATGACTGCCAGCCGAACATAGAGAATCACCGTGCCTATCGAGATTCAAAAATGTAATTTTAAACGATTCTAATATATACAGTCATTTTGACTTAATATCGGTAGCAGATTTGTCAAATCATACATTCTCGTCTCCGACTTGAATGTAGTGACCTTAGTGCGCACAAATATGAAAGAAATTTATTTCAAACACCATCTTGCTCTTGTGGCCATAACTATGAAGACTCTGCTCATTATTTCTTTTCATGTACTCTTTACAACGATATACGTCAAATTATGTATTTGTATACTAAAGGGCTTGACCGAAAACCAATTTTGTTTGGAAACCAGTAGTTTCTCAATAGTTAACAAAGAACGTTTATTTACAGTGCACTCGTTTATAAATTTAACAGGCGGATTTGATCTAAAATACTGACATATACTGTTTAACAAAATTGGCGTTATTTCTCGTTTTAGCAACATTTACATATCATTCACATTGTACATTCATCATGACATGTTTGCTCTTCCTTTCATTCAATTTGTATCCCGGAGCGGTATTCATATAAGCCTATGCTTGTTTACCAATCCGGTTCCTTTCATTGGAAATAAATATGTTTAAATCATATATGCAAACATGCAAACATACCGTGTGGTTTGGATGATATATATATTGTGGTAAAGTCCGAGAGATACTCCGTGGATCTCCATCTGAAACACATTGCGCTGCTCTGTTAAACAATGAAATAGTGAGTATGATTTAAGGCCTCTTTTAGCAATATTGCAGATATGTCACTGCGGGTGACACCAGAAATGGGGTTCACACATTTTACTGATGTGGGAATCGAACCCGGTCTTCGGTGTGACAAGCGAACGCTTTAAGCACTTGGCAACCTCACCGCTCCCAACAGCCAAATCAGGTAAAAGATCACTGCCCTCATACAGCAACATGGCGACTCCACACAACGACTCCAGTCCTTGTTTTGTCGCCTTAAAGCCAAGCGACAGATTTTCAGCAACTTTTCGTAAGAGGCGACTAACGGGATCGGGTGGTCAGGCTCACTGACTTGGTTGACACATGTCATCGTATCCCACTTGTGTAGATCGATGCTCATGTTGTCGATCACTGAATTGTCTGGTCCAGATTCAATTATTCACAGGCCGCTGCCATATAGCTGGAATATTGCTGAGTGCGGCGTTAAACAACAAAGAAACAAACAATCCAAGCAGAGCGTCAGATAGAGTTATTATGAAAACCGTATTTTAACGTGTTTGAGTATAACGCTTGCGAATATTAAAATAAATGTATACTCTGGGGTCTGTAACAACGCTTATACATACGATCGCTCTCTATTTAAAGTCACACTGCCAAAAACGCGATTGGTGCCCGAAAACAAGAAAATAGGGCTAAAAACGTTATTTTGTTATTCCAAGGTTTATAATACGTTCCGACAACCAAACTGTAGACGATTGAGTTAAAGACCGAGTGAGAGAAATACTTACGCTGGAAACCATCCCGTGTCGGCCCCAAAGGTCAAATAGATGTGAGGTAAAGAAGTTTCAGTCCAGTCTCGGCACCCAATCCCTTTGGTCTTTGGCTTCCCACAATAGAATGGGATGCCGAAATAGTCGGCAGTCAGATTACAAAAGGGGCGTATTTTCATGTATTTCACTTCCATGTGACCGCTTGTAATCTCAGTTGAAGTATTTGATCTGAATGTGCATTCAATTTGTTTCCCAAAATATCCATTCTGGAATGATATATCCATATGGTCCATTCTTTCTCTTGATGAAATCATGGCAGCCCGAATTATGGCTCTTCCTGTCCACATGGTGCGCAGAACTCCAGTATACGTTCCATTTCCATTGTCGATAACACTTCCGGCGGAAGCAGCGCCATGTTGCGGATCTTTCATCCACACGACCAACATATCACCACCACATGTTTTTGGTCTCTTCCAGTGATCGAATAGAACAATGTTCACCTTGACCGTTTCGTTAAGCTGATACGTCCTGTTTACACCAACCAACGATATACGTGACATGGATCCTGAAGCGTGGAGGCTTGTTACTTCATTCAATACACTGAAACCAACAATACAACAGGTTGTCTTAGTATAATTATTACTCACAAACAATCTCATCAACAAAACATATCACACAAGGTTGAGTGATGATCACTTTTCTGAGATGGAACTGCCAAGAACACATACACCACAGCTCTCCCAAGAAAAAGAGTCAGCGATTTGATGGGACATAATTTATTTTTAGCCAATGAGCTCCCTTGCTCTTTTAAGTGCGGGGCAGGTTAAGGCCAAGGTCGTCAATGGCGAACGGGAACGATACAATTCTGTTTGCGATGAATAAATGTACCATAACTCATTATGACACTGAGATGTAAGTGTCCCCGAAAGAATGGCGACTAGCGCGCTGCTAGGTACCATCAGTTCAACATGTTTTAGTGAATGTCGTTTGTGTATACTGTGAAATAAACAAGAAAATGGGTGAGTTACCACTACAAATTCTGAGCAGGGATTCTGGCTCGGAATCGAGAAACCACGATTTTTCGAGCTTCCGAAGACCCTAACACCCAAGGTACTGCTTCGATTTTTGTGCTGTATGTCTCATTTTGTAGGTAAATCTATTGGCTTGAAGTGCGTGCATACTTTAAATGGGATAAATACAGTGAGTATTGTTGAATTCACCCTGAAACGAACCTGGTGTGTTGACCTCGTTACATCCCTTTCCTTTCATATAGTACTAAGACCCCGTCAGTGACAGTACATACTTTGACGGCAGTTTGTAGCGTTACAAGCCCCTGTGAGTTTGTGTTGTGACAGAGCGGAACAGACAGTTTGTGTTGTGACAGAGTGGAACAGACAGTTTGTGTTGTGACAGAGTGGAACAGACAGTTTGTGTTGTGACAGAGCGGAACAGACAGTTTGTATTGTGACAGAGTGGAACAGACAGTTTGTGACAGAGCGGAACAGAGAGTTTGTGTTGTGACAGAGCGGAACAGACAGTTTGTATTGTGACAGAGTGGAACAGACAGTTTGTGTTGTGACAGAGTGAAACAGACAGTTTGTGTTGTGACAGAGCGGAACAGACAGTTTGTGTTGTGACACAGTGGAACAGACAGTTTGTGACAGAGCGGAAGGGGACACTTTGTGTTTTGACAGAGTGGAACAGACAGTTTGTGTTGTGACAGAGCGGAACAGACAGTTTGTGTTGTGACAGAGCGGAACAGACAGTTTGTATTGTGACAGAGTGGAACAGACAGTTTGTGTTGTGACAGAGTGGAACAGACAGTTTTTGTTGTGACAGAGTGAAAAAGGCAGTTTGTGTTGTGACAGAGTGAAACGGTCAGTTTGTGTTGTGACAGAGTGAAACGGGCAGTTTGTAGTCTGACAGAGTGAAACGGGCATTTTGAGTTGTGACAGTTTGAAATAGAGAGCAACAGTCAATTTTGTAAAATAAAACATACACTCCCTTTACCTGTGCGGCCACAAACTGTATGCAAGTGTTATCACGACAACTCCCACAAACAGCAGAAACGTTCTTTGTCGGGTTCCCATGACAATCTTTGGAATAAGCTGAAAGAGAGGATGCATGTGAAAAACCCGGCAAAATGTTTTCAGGATATAAGTAACCAGAACGAATCACGATGCATTCGATGTTACACGGCTACCGTCTAAACGTTAGAGTGATCTTTAGCAATCTGGACCCGTGAAGATTCAGGGTAGAAAAGATCTTCAGCAACCCATTCTTGTCATGAAAGGCCACTATGCTTGTCGTTAAAGGCGACTAACGGGATCAGATGGTCAGGCTCGCTGACTTGGTTGACACATGTAATCGGTTCCCAATTGCGCAGATCGATGCTCATGCTGTTGATCACTAGATTGTCTGGTCCAGACTCGATTATTTACAGACGGCCGCCATATAGCTGGAATATTGCTGAGTGCGGCGTAAAAATAAACTCACTCACTCACTTCAGCAATCTGAAGAAAAGCGACACAACCCTTTCAATAATGGCTAGACATCTCTTTTTAAAGAAGAATCTATTGTATGATTTCCACTTTGACTATCAACAGATCGGGACGATACTTGGTATACAGTTAATTACAGTATAATTAATGTGAAACCAACGAATACGCCAGTGCGCATGTCCTGGTGATGGTTCTAGCCTAATTATGCAATCGCATTCGTCACCACTCGCCCCTTTCCGTAACCTCCAAGACATTCGTGACCCACTCGTGTTATTCCGGGACAAGCCGAATAGCGACTCCTGCCCCTCTGGAAGGATTGTATTTTGGCGTAGGAACATCAGAACTACTTCAAACAGGAACGATAACTCTATTCCTGTTTGATTCCAATGGTAATTAATATCACCGAAGTACTCATACATTGTATTGCTGTTTTTGTTTTGGCTTAATTATTTTAAAGAATTAAACCTCCTTGGTACAACTAAAAAGAAGGAGAAAAACATATCTGTTAAAGACATGTTCTGACGTAATTATTACCAGATGTTCACCTTATATTTCCAATTATATTTCTGAAAAGAAAGGGTTTAATAATCACAAATGGGATTTATTTTACTGAATATGCAAATAAATTAATAACAAGCATTGTCACTAAGGTGACATAATCCCCCCGACGCAAATTATCAAATCAAACTTATAAAGTAATGAAAGTTTAAGATGAAGTTAAATGTCAACAAAAACATGACCAGTCAACCTCTCTTGATATCTTGCTGTTTAGTTGTTCAAACACACACATATTTTCAACACTGACTTTGACCTTGACATGAATGTAATAGTGTGTGAAATATGCAAAACTAGTACTAAAGAAATTGCTTATTGAAAAACATTCAAGGGAGGTCTTGAAAGTCTATGAAGAAAATCCACTGAACCGTTCTTAAAATATCTTGCTGACAATTCAGGTTAACATGCTGAAATCTTCAAAGTGTCCCCGTGACCCTAAAAATTATGTGAAGGTCGCCAAAATTGACTGGGCCCTGCGCCTTCCCTAGATAAGGCTAGGTGTTAAATATGAACAAAATCCAGTGAAGGGTTCTTAAGATAGTTTAACATGCAGGTTTACATGCTGAAATATTCAAAGTGTCGCCATGACCTTGAAATTTATGTGAAGGTCACCAAACTCATCTGGGCCCTGCGCCTTCCTTAGATAAAGCTTGGGGTTAAATATGAAGAAAATCCAAGGAAAAGTTCTTGAGATAGCTTAACGTGCAGGTAAAACGTAGAGTCCCCTTGTGACCTTGAAATGAAGGTCAAGGTCACCAAACCTGACTGGCACCTTCCTTTTACTGTGATGAACCTAGGTACCAAATATGAAAAGAATCCAGTCAACGGTTCTTAAGATATTCCAATTCGTACGTACGGATGTACGTACGAACGGACGGACGGACGGAGCCTTATACTATATCCCCCGCTTCGCGCTAAACGATTAGATACATACAGATATATTATTATTGTTTTGAAACGCGTAGCGATTTATAATTACATTTCCTAAAACTGTTGAAAGCGCACGTACAATCACCATAACAAGCCCGCAAGATCATCAGAAATACGGTGTCTGCACACGAAGCAGACCTTTAGGTTTGAAACTATGCACATGGAGCTGACCCTGTTTTTCTTTTGATGTTCACCGATCTGATCTTGTGACTGATTGGTGTTTGTTTAGTGGCTGGAAGATGAGATTTCTTGTTTGACTAATTAATTTAGTGAATACTGATCAATCATACATAACTACATTGAACTGTGTTCAAAATGTGGGGATCATCCCAACATGTCTGAGGCCATCACATTCTTAAAGTCAATACAAATGTCCACTGAATCAAGATTGAAACAATATGCAGCCGGAGGCAAACAACCCTCAAAGAGAAGAAAATATGTCCGACTGGACGAGACCCTGTTAGCTCTGATACGGTGTCTACAGCCACAGGCCCCCACTGCGGGTCAGAAAACCGATGCCTCCTACATACATCGGAGATATGGACAAAAGCTTTTGATACTTGTGAGACCTTTAAAATACGATATAGTCATTGACGTGTGCGTAATTGTCCGGTTTTCGATCATGTCACCGTATTTCTGTGATGAACCTTTATGTATTATATAGTAGAGGGTGTTGATACTAAACCGGGGCCTAGTTTATCGATTTTCTGACCCGCAGTGGGTGTCTGTGTCTACAGCGTCTACAGCAGGACGAAATCACCATCATGGACTATGCGGATTCTGCTTACTTCAGCCTTAAGTTGTGCTAGCTTCTATTTTTTTGAATTGTACAGAGTTGTAAATATGTAAATAAATGTATAAATACATATATCTGATTTCATTTTGTATGTACCAGTCTATAAGTCAGGTAGACAGATAGACCTAACGAGCTGATCACTCGGGCATATAATCCTGATTATCCGGATTAGATGAGAAGAAACAACATAATTAAAACTTGCTTAAGACTACTGGTCAAATGCACATGAAGCAGACCTGATTTTTCCTCGCAAAGGTGAAAGGTCTACTTCATGTGAATAAACCAGAAAAATACTCAGTTGGACCAGTGAGAGCCGTTATGTCAACAAACGCACGGGTGTGTATTTGAATCTTTCACCATCAATCGCATGTTTCTTATAAAAACAACAACAATTCTGTTAGCTACTTTTTTAGTACTTTCAATATGGCAATATATGAAAACAGAAATACAATGTATGAGTACTTCGGTGATATTAAGTACCATCGGAATAAAAAAGGAGTAGAGTTATCGTTCCTGTTTGAAGTATACGTAGTTCTGATGTTCCTACGCCTATATGAAATCCTTCCAGATCGGCACAAGTCGCTATTCGGCTTGTCCCGGAATAACACGAGTGGGTCACGAATGAGGGGCACGAGTCGACTTGTCCCAGAAGAACACGAGTGGGTCACGAATGATGGGCACGAGTCGACTTGTCCCGGAATAACATGAGTGGGTCACGAATGTATACAATCGTTGCAAAGGGGAACCTATACTCGCATATTGGTGGGATCCGCCTTAATGATTGGAGGTGCAAACAACTCCAACCTTATAATCAGGCTGAATTTTCTCTCAGGTGAAATTTCTCTCTATAGGCCTATATACACTTGGAATATTCAAAATGAAACTTAGTCTGTTTGTATTTTGGCAATTCCAAATGACCAATGAACATAGCTGTAGCATGTGGGTAATCCGAAATAATTGTCCTGCTTTGCGCGGAAATTGAGTTTTCTTTAAATCTCTAAGTTAAACACATTCTGTGTTTTTATTGATCAAAAACGTTGATACGTAATGGAGCACACTTGTTCTAGTTCAGTACATACTTTCGAATTGCAGAATCAGAAAATCCATTCCATTTTAGTAGCACCAAAGATCATATAATAGAAACCATATATAAACCAAAATACAAAAATCAAACTAACCCAGTCAGGTAAAGGCAGTTTTAACATTACAGTTGCCAATATGCCCGATGCTCGCTAAACGTATCATCACATGGCTAATCTCAAGATTTACTTGCAAGTATTCGTTGGCACAAAACGAGGGTGTGGTCGAAGCAAGCCCTCTGGTTGATTTACGTTTGTTAAGGAGACATTTACAAGTCATTCTTTCTTTTGAGAAGCCACTGCTGGAAAAAGAATTCTTATATTTTAAGTCAAGCAGTCGATGAAAGTAAAAATTCCCGCGTATTAATAAAGAATGTGCAGATTTGCAAGCGTTGGCCAATCAGAGGACTTGCTTCGACCACACCCCTGTTATGTGCGGACATATCGTCATCCATTTGTGTCAAGATCGTTTAGTTGAGAGTCAAAATCGGTTTTCAATCGACTTGCAGAAATAACAATAAAGAATTGGTAGGTGTCATGAGTGTTGCTCGATAGGCCAATCATCCATGATTATGTTTACATTAAGTTTTAATCGATTGCATGCGATGGTAGCGTAGCGATCGGCAACGCAGTCGGGTAGGGTGCACCCTAGAAGTGTCCGGCCATGTCATTATGTATTGTACTGTGAAGCATTTCGAGTCGGGGTGTCATCACAAAAACAATATTCTTAAAATCATTAATCCTCGGAAAGACACGAGGGCCTGTGACTGGCTGGTGTTTCACTTAATGACGCTATTAGTCTCTGATTCTAATTTTATATTAATTCGCATAATTTTATATTGTAAAGTTGATAGTCCCAACGAAACACGATTTCACATTATCCAAGAGCGTCAATGTTTTTATAATGCCAGTTTGGGGCTAGCGGTGATTATACTTTGTGCCGTACGGAGACATTTGTTGCTTTTTTCAAAGGGAAGCCACTAAATACTAAAGTCACTTTCCTCCGAGCCCATGAAATATTCGTGTTAAATGGGCTGTACTACATTACCCTATCAATTAAAAAATTTCAGCAAAGTGTCAAGTTAAACTTAGCAGGAAAATGCAACCAATAACATTAAAACACAACATCACACGTTCTTATATGTACAATGTATTTATTGTAGAATAGAACCATAGATCTATATGTACAATGTATTTATTGTAGAATAGGACCATAGATCAATATGTACAATCATTGTAATATCTTA